CAGGTGACAACTCCCCGCTCTAAAGCCACGCGTACGTCTGATTTTTGCGTACGGCAAGTGGCATATAGACGAAAATGCGCCTCGTCTTTTCCATGCGCAACTACACTGTAGAGACACCCTTACATACCTCATTCAGAGTGTGATTTGTTGCTACTATCTATCTGTAGGTCGGCATAGCACAGCCGACGTAAGAGGATGTGGTACAAACGATGTGTAACGCACCCATGCTCCTCCGTCCGCCCGCCCTCTGCGGCAACAGTGGGAATAGTGAAGGCTTTATTTCGATAATGACGGTACATGGTCAGAAAAGTCTCCTTTTTGGCTCATTTTATTGTAAATAATATATATTGCCTTAATTTTATTTTTATAATTTGAAATTGTTTCGAGGCGAATTAGATTTAGAGCTCAAATTGATTTTCCACGTGTGGTGTTGGAGGTAACGATGGAATACCTGGCCATTCGAGGACGGACATCCGGGCATTTTCACCGCCTGGCAACTATCGCCGATGAAAACTATGGACGAAAACTCTTAGAATACTCACGGTTACTAAAAACCGTGGAATACTGTACTTTGGGCTAGTTGTTGAGACTCCCGAACAGCGTAACAAGATTACCCCTACACAGGCAATATAGGTCAATTTGGTTGCTTAGGGTTGCCTCAAAGTTTAGTTTGTACTGTTTTTTTGTCTTTAGGCTTTTCACAGATTCTTCGACCGGCGTCACGGTTCCACATAAGGTTTTCGAGGTGATGCGCGTAGACTGGCCCAATCGAGGCAGTTTTATATGTAATTCTATTTTTAAATCGTGGTCCGACGCGAAATAACCACACCAGTCGTGGAAATTTGCTAATAAATCGCATGACAGTGTTCATTGGTTTATTATGTAAAATCATGAAGCCCCATGTAGCATTCTATTGTGTGTTACCGTGACGTATTTTTTTTCTTTAAAAAAGCGCTATTTTTAGAACAATTCCACCGACTCTGAGCCCTATGTTAAAGAAAAATTACATCTTTTGAACTTTTTTCAAAACCCAGATTTTTTAAATAACTTAGGACAACAATATGTACCCCATCATTAACAATATATTATTTGTTTCGGCTTATTTCACCAGGCTACATTTTGAGATATGGCATGATATCCCTATTGTTAAAATCGTTATAATACTGTAAAAATGGCCAGTATCCACTAAAATACAACGATACTATAATAATAATAATAATAATTTTATTCAACACGAAAAACATACTACAGAAGTTGTTTTTATGGTTGTATAAACAAAAGAAGAAAAAAATTAAGAACAAGAACTACGTAAACAAAAATGTAGTACTTAAACGACGAATAAAAGTTACTATAAAGCACTAATACTACTTAGTTTGGTGGAGCTGTTACATGTATAATTCATCTCTGATTTTCATACCTGACTGGATAAATTGTGCAACATCGATAGAGCACTTCTTCATAATTTCAATAAATTGAACTTCAGAGGGCAATGTGTCGAAATCTTTAATTTTGTTTTTACTCTGTAATATAAGTCTTATACGACATTCAATATAATTTCTACATTCCATCATGAAATGATATTCACTCTCAATTACATTACATGTTTCGCATTTACGTTCTGCCCTTGGTATCCGTCTATGTCTGCCAGTCTCTATTAGCAACTTATGACCTGAGATCCCGAATTTGCATAAAAGTTATCTCAGTTTAGTATTGCTGATCTCTGTTAAATAATGTTCTATTTCAAATTCAATTTTAAGTTTTCTGTATATGACTAATTTATTTGTCTCGCCATTTATTCTTACGTCATTAAATAGTTCACATAAGTATCTCGAAAATTAAGCTGGTGACCCTCCAATAATCGTACAATGCCCGGAAGTACAATTTATTGGAACATGAATAAATCAGTGAGTAGGCGTCCTGTAGGCGTCTGCACCTTTAGTGCGTCGTGGGCGCTTGCTTATTAGTGTTCCCACGACATCTCACGAGATGTCGCTTGGTACCCCGCGAGATGTCGCTTGGTACCACTATGTATTATTATTTGAAGTTGGTCCCGTTCTTTTTCACAGGGTAATCGTGATATTGATCAGCTGGTTCGTATCATACTAGCAAAACACAAACGCGATCGTCGCGTCTATAGAACCAAAGTCACCAGACTGACTGATTTTTTGTAATTGAATACTTACACATTGAGTTTTGTAGACATCAGCAGATTCGTGATACATTGACCCAGTTTAGATCAGAGTTATGTAGACCTGCCCCGGAATTTAAGACTACTCGTGATTTTATTGTCTACTACTACTACTCTCCTGTCACAAGAGTTATTACATGGTAACAAACAAAATTGGGCTGTGCATTGTAAGGGTCAACGGGTAAGAGCACTACAGCAGTGTGCTCCGTGTTTAGTAGAGATGGAATGTGGCCGTATTATTTTATCCCAATGGCTGACGTTGACTCCTACAGTGTCTAGACATGTCTTATAAGACATGTCTTATCGCGTAGCTAGTCTTCACTGGCTATGGCTGAAGGCTCTTTTTTCAAACTTTGATCTAAAACATGCACTTTATGATACAGAATCAACAGTTACAACCAGATTTTGGCTGCAGGGGAGACGCTTGCACTTACGATTGCAAATTTTCAGACCTTCAAATTTCGTATTTTCATGTCGCCCCTTGACAAATTGGCGAATGCTGCTATCTCATAACGATAAATTTATGATCTATTTTTGTCCCATTATACATAAAGCCAATTGTTTTTTGTCTTTGTTCTTTTCCTTCTGGGACATCTTGAATTTTCAAGGTGAATGTTCCGGCGAAGCACTCCGTAGAGGGAGGAATATCCGAACGGAACAACACCGTGCAGGCGGACGATGGTAAAATTTAGCATAGAACACATTATCTAAATGACGAAACCGTGAATTTAAAACCCACTGAATATGCCTGAAAAAGGTAAATCAGTGAAATTTAAACCCAGTGAATATTAGTCATTTTACAGTACCTGTCACTTGTTTTGAACAAAATAAAATTCTATTTCACGGAGACAGGTAAGTGAAACTAAATGTAAAGTAGGCCCCAGATATTACTCAGGATTACTCATTGGGAATTACCCTATTTTGCTGAGATACCGGAAACTGATAAACCACTTGTTAATTTGATACCCTTGTCTCCCACGAATCTGTTTTTTGGTCATGGGTCATGTCAAGATATCATGATGGGTATTTTAAATTGGAAGGATTGCCATGACAACTGAGATGCCGCTTGGTGCTGCTTAGTATGTGGGTGTCAGGTATTATGCTGCGTAGGTGGTTCTCACACCTCCTCGTTTTCGATATTTGGGGGGAAGCGTGATCCTGACGCACTGGTTAAAATAATGGGTAGGCTGACCGCTCTTTCACTACCATGGAGGTGTTGAACTCAACATCGTACTTTTATTTGATTTATTGTTTGATTTTATTTCATTTAAAGTTCCACAATACCCCCTATCTACCGTGAGTCGCAATCCTGAAGTCTGACAGTAGAAAGGCGCT